ATATTTCATTCCAACCAAGTCAGTAAATGTTTGTAGCAAACTGTTAAATCAGCAAACTTATTGACTGTTTAATATAAACATATGTTCTTCCTCTCACTTTTAATTTCTGACAACAGCTGGAGTTTCATAACAATGTTTGTTTCCCATGTTAATCTTATGGAGAAATACGAAACTTTAAAGGGCCCCAGGGCCTCACACTCTAATTTTTTCCTAAAAAATAAAGTCTCCTGCACAACTTCACGTTACGCTCTTTCCAACGACACCAAAAACATGTCAATCGGTTCAGTAGTTTCAGAGGAGTAATTGTCACAAAAAAACCTGCTTGTGTATTAAATAAGTATATAGATTTATAACACAATTTGTTAATTACAAGGCAGAAATGTGGTTCGGATTCCTCTATAAACTAGGGCCCTTGAACAGCTGTGTCTTAAGAATATGTCTGCCTTTGTCACTATCAAGACTACAAGGTTGCGCCACTCATCCTACACTCATCTCCAATCTCCATTCATACTTGGATTAAAATACCTACATTCGTATGGTCACCATTTCAAAGTAAAGAATTAAAGTATTTATTTAATAGGTTAGTTTAATCTTTGGTTATAATTAACTCATACACTAAAAGTTGGTTAATTTACAAGTTTGACGTACTTTTATCACAGGCTAAAATAGCCTATTGCATTTTTTAATTTTATCTTTGTATGGATTTCAAGCGTCTTATTTTATTATGTTGTAAGCGTTTATCTTACAACAAAAAAAAAAACTAAAATGTAAAATAATACAATATTAAAAGCCCCAGCCAACGTTCATGACTTCAGCCAATGTTTCAAAATGTTTGCAGACGACATAAGCAGTGTACGAAATCACCGATAAGTAAATTATTTCTCGGTGACAAAAGTAAGATTGCATAATAATCAATGACCCACGTTATAAAACGTTAAATTTGTTAACTTAGTTCGTTTTCACTAAAGAGGCCTAACAAAATTAAACGATAACATCATATTATTAATAAGTTTAATGTTATTACTTGTTCAATACAATTAATTATTGAATGATTGATAGGCAATACCATAGATAAAACATACTCCCTTAGTAAATTTCCCATCCTTATGGAACAATTGAAGCCAATTTTATCTATCGTTAGTTCTGTCTGGTTTTCTGTAGATGTCGTGTTTTGTTTACAATTTTTGTCTTGTTTTTTCAATAATTTAAAACCTCGTTTAACCAAATAAAACTATCTAATCATAATAAACAATAACTTGTCTACTAGCTATATAACCAAACAGTGAGACACAAATAATGAGAAACTAACCCTAATATAGGCCTAATAGAAACAAATTGTAAACAAAACACAACATCTAAAGAAAACCGGACAGAACTAACAATAAAATTGACTTCAGCTGTTCCATAAGGATGGACGATACACTTAGGAACTATGTTTAATCTATGGTATTTGAATAAGAATGAACCCAAATTTTTCGGACCCACTCATCTCACGGGCCTCTCTGCTCGCCGTTTCCCACTCACCGGTTCGCGGGCCCCCTCAGCTCCCGGGCCCCCCGCATTGCGGGCCCTTCTGTTACACCACTGGATTGATTGGCTAAGTCAAGGCCCCATTAGAAAAACCCTTGGCTAAGTTAAGCTGAAATGAACAAAAACAGAATAGGCCTACAGTAGGCCTAATACAAACAAATAATCACACCTGAATGTAAGTTAAAAAGGTAATAAATTGAAAGAATAACAAACAAATAAGTACAAGGTATTTTTAACATTACTTTTTAATACTTTTCGAATGCCATTTCTTCATAACTGTACATCTTTTTATTTTATGAACAGAATTTAACCTTAATTCGATTTTTTCATTTTCGGCAAGTTTGGTTAGTTAGGCTAGGTTAAGTTATGACAGTAACTGCCGGATGCCTAATTCACATCTAACTTACTACTATTAGTAACTACTATTAGTAGAGTATTAGTTACCGGACACGTATCCTCTGCCTTAAAGAAAAAAATTAAACTTAATGTTTGGTATTATAGGTCTACCATAGGTAGGCCTGTAAAATAGAGATGTGTCGTTCGGTCATGACCCGTTCAATTTGAACGGATCAGTCAGGTGAACGAGTGATCCGGGTCACACTTATTCAAAAGACCCGTTCAATTCTGATTTCGTTCACTCCAATCAACTGACTGTTTTAATTTTATAACGAAACTCTATTTTAAGAAAAATCGCGTATCTTAATATATTTACTCATAAAAAAATTACTTATTGAGTTTAAAATATCAATATGGACTTAATTTAACCTACAAAATAATACAGGATAGAAAATATGTTTTGTGTTGATTCATTGAGCGGAGCGAGCGAAGCTCTTATACGTCGACTTTTATGCATTTCGTAATACGCAAACTCTTCCTAGACGGCTGAATAAATCGTTTTCAAATTTTGGATGGTGATAAAGACCCTATCGGTGAGTGCCAACATCTATATGGCGTTAAAAATAACTCTCAGGAATCCGCCCCACTGGGTCTCAAAGTTTCAATGTAATCCTTATGGAAGCAGTATTTGACACATAAACAAAGACATATGATCAGCTGTTGACTTTTGAATGCAGTAGATAAAGAAATAGCTGATAGCATTATTCCACAGATATTAGAATAGAAACGTTATGAATCATAAATATAATCAAATGACGACACTAGCTTGAGGTCCGTGACATAGGAAGTACTAAAGGTGAGCAGTCTGGAGTGTGGAAACTGTTTATGACGATTAGATTTAGGTATCTGCATTCCAAAAACTATAAGGCAAGGGAGGAAAACGGGTCCGCGACGTAGGAAGTGATGAAGGAAGTAGTCAAGGCGAGCTGTCCGGAGTGTGGGATCTGCTTATGACCATTATATTAAGGTATTTGCAACCCTATGATGCTATGGGAAGGGAGGAAACCAGGTCTGTGACGTAGGAAGTGGTGAAGGAAGTAGTAAAGACGAGCAGTCCGGAGTGTGGGAACTGTTTATGACGATTAGATTAAGGTATCTGCAATCATAAAATGCTATGGGAAGGGAGGATAACGGGTCCGCGACGTAGGAAGTGATGAAGGAAGTAGTCAAGGCGAGCTGTCCGGAGTGTGGGATCTGTTTATGACCATTAGATTAAGGTATCTGCAATCATAAAATGCTCTGGAAAGGGAGGTAAACAGGTCCGTGACGTAGGAAGTGGTGAAGGAAGTAGTAAATGCGAGCAGTCCGGAGTGTGGGAACTGTTTATGACCATTAGATTAAGGTATTTGCAATCCTATGATGCTATGGGAAGGGAGGAAAACGGGTCCGCGACGTAGGTGAAGTGATGAAGGAAGTAGTCAAGGCGAGCTGTCCGGAGTGTGGGAACTGTTTATGACAATTATATTAAGGTATCTGCAATCATAAAATGCTGTGGGAAGGGAGGAAAACAGGTCCACGACGTAGGAAGTGGTGAAGGAAGTAGTCAAGGCAAGCTGTCCGGGGTGTGGGAACTGTTTATATGACGATTAGGTCAAGGTATCTGCAATCCTAAAATGCTATGGGAAGGGAGGAAACAGGTCCGTGACGTAGGAAGTGGTGAAGGAAGTAGTAAAGGCGAGCAGTCTGGAATGTGGGAACTGTTCATGACGATTAGATTAAGGTATCAACAAACATAAAATGCTATGGGAAGGGAGGAAAACAGGTCCGCGACGTAGGAAGTGATGAAGGAAGTAGTCAAAGCGAGCTGTCCGGAGTGTGGGAACTGTTTTTGACGATTAGATTAAGGTATCTGCAATCATAAAATGCTATGGAAAGGGAGGGAAACAGGTCCGTGGCGTAGGAAGTGGCAATGGAATTTACTACTTCCATTGCCACTTCCTACGCCACGGACCTGGAAAGGGAGGGAAATAGGTCCACGACGTAGGGGGTAGTGAGGAAGTAGTAAAGGTGAGCGTGTTGAGTGTGGGAATGGATTAATGTATCTGCAATGCTAAAAAACTATGGGAAGAGACTGTAGACTGTAGGTTAAAATAATTACGAAGCACGAATCGATACATATGTTGATACATGCAATCGTTTATAATAGGTAGTAATTTACAACTGAGTTGACAACAGCTGATTTTTACTCCACTTCCTAAAGAGTAAAAATGCTACTTTAGACCCGCAACGCATGCATTAAAAACGACTGGTACTACTGCGGTATGACCAAAGCAATATAATATAAACCCTTGATGACTCCGCTCAATTTTGAGGATGCCTCTGCGAACGCCACCTAGTGTAGTTTACTTTGGTTTCGTTCGGTGTCGGTCTTTTTGTTCATTTCGTTCGCCAAGATCCGATCCGATGACGATGACCGAAGAAGTCCGATTGCGTTCGGAATGGCAACTAGATTCACGTAGTTTACTTTGGTTTCGTTCGGTCTCGGTCTTTTCGTTCATTTCGTTCGCCAAGATCCGATGACCGAAGAAGTCCGATTGCGTTCGGAATGGCAACTACAGAGTACAGACACGAACACGGAACGGACCGAACCAACTAATGCGAATTAATGGAACAAGAAGTGGACGATTGGCACTTTCAAGCCTAGGCTCGAACCAATAATATAGTAGCCTAATATGTGGCCTGAAATAGGTAGGCAAGGCATTTACAAACAAAAACTAAACATCGGTAAGGATGAATTATTATTTATTACTCTATTCGTTTACTGACGTCAAGGTCCTAGTCCGGTTTCGTGTTTCGTTCATTTCGTTCACCGATGTCCGATTCCGATACAAACTCTGGCGGGACGTTATGTCATGAAAGCTGGCTGACTGACAGTCGACAGACCGGTTCAATTGAACGGGTCTTTTGAACGGGTCGCGGCAGTGAACGAGACCGGTTGACCCGGATCAGTAAAGTGATCCGAACGTCCCATCTCTACTGTAAAATGCAATACACAAAATAACAAGGTCGAAATCCGGTGGATGGATAGTATTAATAGACCTAACCTAATTGGCCGGTTAGGTTAGAATGTTTACCTCTTGTCCAGTGTATTCTTGCACATCTTCAGTGTCAGAAACTTCGTCACTACTAGATCCTTCCTCGCTAGCGTTCCCTTCAATGTGAAGAGCACGTTTCTTAATTGGCGCTGACATTTTCTAAAACTTTTTTAAAATTTTCGACAACGTGTTCAGTCTCAGTCAATCAAATTAGTACAACAGTACACAGTAATAATAATACTACCAGTCCGGTACAACCACAACCAAGCAAGAACCAATGCTTCACTTCAGTACTTCAGTCAGTCACAACTCACAATAGTCACACTCACAATACGATGATACGATCACGGTCACGACGGTCCATGACATGTGAATGAGACTGAAATTTTTTTTTCAGTGAAAAGAAAAGTAAACGAAATGAAATGAAATGACTCACCCTACTCAGTCACTCACACTGGCACCGGTTCGTTGTGATGTTCGCTCGTTTCGTTCGTTGTTCTCGTTCTCGTTTCGTTTCGTTGGTTGTTGTTGGTTGGGTAGGTTGGTGTTGTATGTAATTGTCAAAAAAGTTATAAACCTTAAACTGTTCATGTGAATGTGATGTCAACATTCTTCTTTGATGTTTTTGTTGATATTAGAGTTATCTGATGAATGCTGGCTGATTAACTTTCTTGTCTGTTATTTTTGTTTGTTTTGCAATTAGTTATAGGTTATAAGACTGAAGTGGTCTGGTAGTGTTTACATATAACTATAAGTTTACTTATTGACCTGAGCCCTTCATAACCTATTTTTTTGGTTCTTTGTAGGCTAGTAAATATACATTCTACTCGAAGAAATGCCAAATGAAGACAGGTTAAAAGCACTCCTCTCTGATCTTGGTAGATCAACCCTTAGGGGTGTTCGTAAATGCCCAAAATGTGGGACATTGAATGGCATTAGGGGTATTATGTGCAAAAATAAGGCTTGTGATCAAGTTTTCAAAGAAGCTGGGGAGAAAAGAAAGAACACCACTGAAGTTTGCAAACTGCATACTGGGTCTACAACCCAGGTAAGAAATAAGTTTATGTTTCCAAACAGCACAAAAGCAAAATTCCAAAATAAGTTTATAGGACTCCGAACCTCAATTGAGCAATAAAATACCCTCGCCGCAGCAAACCTGCAGACTAAGCGAATTTCCATATGTCTGATTGGATTTACACTAAAATGTCTACTTAAAAATTTAACATTTATTTCCTATTTAAATAAAATTAGTTTAACAGGTACTTAGGTTTGCTGCATCAGGGAGGGTAAAACTGCTTTTTTTGTAAAATGTTAATAGTTAGTAAGAAATAAAAACAATTTCCAAATTTGATCTAAGTATGTTCATAAACAAGCAAACTCCATCAGTTTACTTATTCTCCATAAGAATAACATGGGAATTTAAAATTTACATTTTTTTGGAATTTTCTCCGTAACCATTAGGCGCATAGTAACACTTCAATATACTAAATTATTTGTTTTTTTAAGCACTACAAAATGGTTTGAAAAGATTTTGCAAAATTTTATGTTTTTTGGGTCAAAAATGGGAAAAACCTATTTTTACCCCATAAAACCCCCCGTAAACCCCCGTTCCCATAGTCCGATCACGCTGGTTCGCGAACTCGTTCAAGTTTATCCCGCCTTACACCTTCAAACCAAATTTTATCAAAATCGGTCAAAAATTACTCAAGTTATCGTGCGGATGGACACATATATATATATATATCTCTATATATAGATATATAAAAATTTGAACGAATGGTGTTTTTGGCCTCTGGGGACATCAAAATGAAAAAGTAAATCGGTCCCGGGCCTAGGTCTTACCATGAGACCTACGGTAATAGCTACTTCCCTATAGGGAAATTCGCTAAAAGGCAAACTTTTTAGGGGCAAAGCTGAATGATGGGCTTGGATGGGGTGAGCACATTCATGGATTAGGGGGATCGCTTGCTCGGGGACTCTTCATCCTTCGTAGGATGAGGTCACACAGCAGAGACTCTCTGTCCAGGCTGTTCGAGCAGTACCTACATCTCATATTCAATCATTTTTGGGGCTCCCTGGGTCTGCCACCAGTTGCTAGTTGCAGAGTTGCGTTTTTTACAGCTTGGGCTCTTGGCTGTACCATGCATTTTTATTTCCGGCAAATGCCATTTTTACCCAGAAAACCAGGTTTTAAAAGTCGTAAAAAAACCGAAAGTGCCGAAAAAGACCGATTTGTGTGTAGGCCAGGCCTACTTAACTTAAAAACCAAATTAAAATTACCCTATCCAACCTTACTTAATCTAACTTAACCTAACCCTTAGTATTGAGTTATTGACACTTACCGGTACCGGTCAAATGTGCCATTTAGTGATTTATAACGCTTTTCACGATTTTCAAACACAGTTTTTCGGGTTACTTAACTTAAGTGTTTGCCAAAAAAGTTTTTGAAATTGCCTAGATAATATTAAGAAAAGTAGGCTACCATTGAAAGTAAAAAAGGGTTTCTTGAGTGCCTAAAATCGCTGATTTCTAGTGCTTTTCTTGATTTTCAAATGGACTGCACTTTACTTGACGTCCTACACTCATTCGAATGAAAATATCGATCGATATATCGATTAATCGATTGCTTCATTCGATATATCGTTTGGTTAGTTAGGTAAGGTTAACCTAACCTAACTAACCAAACGATCATTCTTCATCATTGCTTCATTCGATATATCGTTTGGTTAGTTAGGTAAGGTTAACCTAACCTAACTAACCAAACGATATATCGAATGAAAATATCGAATCGAAAAAACAATCGAATGAAAATATCGAATCGAAAAAACAATCGAATGAGTGTAGGACGTCAAGTAAAGTGCAGCCTTCAAATGCGATATTCAGAGTGAAATAGGAGTTTTCGGGTACACTTCCATATCTGTTGGCAAAAACAACCGAATGAGTAATATTGATTAGGTATTCGATTGTTTAATTCGATATATATCGTTTGGTTAGCTAGGTTAGGTTAACCTTACATAAGTAACCAAACGATATATCGAATAATAAATAGTCGATACATCGATCGATATTACTCATTCAGTTGTTTGTGCCAACTGATATGGAAGTGTACCCGAGTTTTCCCCCAAAAGTGCTTAAAATAGCCTAAGTTAATTTTAGTAGATAAGATAAAAAATTGATAGGCCTATAACTTAAGTATAGTATAGGCCTAAGACCTTTAAGGTTATTAACTGCAATTGTTTGGACTGTTAAGTTTATCAGCCCATATAAAAAGAATTCCATTAGAATAACAGATTACTTAATTTGCTAATCACCTTCTCATAGATAGCCTATTATTTGTTGATAATGCTATCCCACTATTATTTAGATGTAAATATCAAGTTAATTATTTAGATTGGGTCATCCAAATTGGGAACAGTTCTGCAGAGAACCTGCGATATAGCCTATTATAGGGGTAGCCTAAATAAAGGTATATCAATATATCCAATTTGATATTAATATTGCATAAATTATTTCAAACCATATGATAAGTTAAGTAAATAAAAACAACAACAAAAACATTAAAGAAGCTTTTAGCAAATTTCCCATATAGGGAATTTAAGCTATTAGGCCTACCGTAGGTCTCATAGTAAGACCAGGACCCGGGACCGATTTATTTTTCCGTTTTGAGGTCCCCAGAGGCCAAAAAAACCATCCTTTCAAATTCATATAAGTTAAGTATGAGTGTGTGTGTGTGTCCGTTAACACGATAACTCAAGCAAAAATGATCCGATTTTGATGAAATTTGGTATAAACGTGTAATGTAAACCTACATTTATTCAAATGAGTTCGCGCACCAGCATGATCCGACCATGGGAAAATTTTTGACCCTAAAATCAAAGAATTTTGCAATTTATTTCTAAACCATTTTGTAAGTAGAGTTTAAAAAAAGAAATAGGCTAATTTAGTATTATGAAGCGCTGTTGTAGCCTATGCCTAACGGTTATGGAGAAAATAAAAAGTGTATAATTTAAAATTCCCATGTTTCTCTGATGGATAAAATGAAAACTGTTGTACTTTATTTACTTGTTTATGGATATATGTTGATAAAATTTGGCAAATTTATTTATTTCATCCTATACTATTGACGTATGGTCAAAAAACACTTTTTACCTTCCCCGTAGCAGCAAACCTAAGCACTTGTTTTTTGTCTGTGATGTTATAGAACCAACTTGTATAGTTAAAACAGCTGACTAAATTCTTTAATTCCCTTTAAATATGAATACTCAATAAGGTTAACATGGGGAACTACAGATCCACTGGGGCAGAGCCCGAAAGGATTTTTGAGATAAGAATATGCCTAAATGTTAATCGGGAATGTGAGCTATCATCATGCCAAATTTCAGCCCAATCCGCCCAGAAGTTTATGCGTGATTGAGAAACACACAAACGCACAAACTCACAAACTTTCAGATTTATAATATTAGTAAGATAAGATAGTAAGATTTCATCATGTGTTGTATTAATTTTCCTATTTCAGATTTTCTCTGTAAGAGTAAGAGATAAAGGACCAGATTATCGCGGTTTTGTCCAACTACCTATTGTGCCTAACTCTTTGTGCTCTCGTCCAACCGACCCTCTCATCAACGAACCCTCAGCTGTATGTTTTGTCGAGAATTGTCAACGAATATTCAACACGAACATTTTGAAATGTCATGTAAGTCAACAAACATAATAAATAACTTACTAATCAACAATAATTATTATTGTTCCTATATATGCACCTCGTACCTTCTTTTTTTAATAGTTATATTAATGATGTTTTACTCTAACTATAATTTTAATGGGGGTGTTGCACAATGTCCAAAATGTAACTTTTGAGCTTTCTCACGACGTCCAATATAAACTATTCAACTGTTTAATGACGTCCAAATCTCATCATGTCCAAAATTACAGTAACTGCAAAAAAAAAGTCTTTCTACGAGCTTTGGCCATCATTGGATTGGTCGTCGTGCAACAGCGCACTTTACAGCTTAAAAACTTAGCAGTAGCACCACGCCTAAAGCCGCTGCACGACGTCGAATAGCTCAGTGCTGTCACACGACGTTCAATGCTCCTGCATACGGCACTAGGTTAGGTTAGGTTAGTATGCAGTGGTATTTTGGACATTGTAACACTCACTTATATCATTGGATGGTTGTGCAATGCATCAATTTTAATAGACTAAGTTTAATCCTTAAAAGCTCAATTGAAAAAAAAAAACCTGTACATTTCCTTATATTATGAAAGGAGTTCCAGTTTTAGTAAAATTCAAAACCATGTACCGGTAGATTACTGCTCATAAAATCTTGTGGGTGAGCATACTGCTGATTTCTTTACAAAAGTTGGCCCTCTAAACAAATTAATTATTGTAGCCTATTGTTTTAAAAACTATGATTTGTGTCAAATATTATGTAGTATATTTCACCAAGAAAATTAATATCCCTGTATGGGTTTTTAGAGTAATTTAGGCCTAGTAAAAAAATATCAAAGTAGGCCTATGGTATGGTATTTGAGTAATTTTAATGTTGTATTTTTTTTTTATTTAAACTTTGATGTAATAAATTGACTGACTTGTCTGAAGGAACGAGAGCTTCAGCCAGTGACAACGTGTCAACACATCCAAGCTGCTACCCGATGTTTTGCCTCCGCTCAGCCACTTAGCATCAGCAACACTGTTCTCTTCTCTCTCAACATCCCTACGTACATCAAACATGTAAGATAGACCTACCCTATTTATTAAAAAAGTATGTAGACTAAGTAATTTAATACAATATACAATAGAATCTTGATGATCTCAAACATTTTCAAACTGGTGTGATTATTTCTACTATCCTTGGTTTTATACTTCGATCAGCGGTCCTGGTTTCTATGCAATTTAAAAACTATCTGCAATGTAACTGGTTTATCTGTTGTTATTCTGTTTTATAATAATGTTGGGGTTTACTAAAACAAAGTCTTAGATTTGAAAAAGTCTTACATTCATTATTTCAACAATTTATTTTAGAAAATAAATCAAATGGAGAAAATAATAAAACTACAACTTCTAGTAGTTGTAGTTGGTCGCGATCGCGGCCAAATCATCTCCTGTGGCCGTGTAAACATCATCATTGACTTCCGCGGTCATGGAAACATCATCTTTGTATTGTGCAATGGCGGCAAAATCATGAAAATCTCCAGCGACCGCGTCGACAACATCATGAACTCCCGCAGTCACAGAAATGTTTCTCCTTGTCCACAACTGCAGTAAAATCATAAACATTTCTTGCGGCTATGTAGACGTCATCATTGTCTCCCGGGATTGCAGTAACGTCATTGTCGCCGTCCGCTATCGTGGCAAAATCTTCTCCCGCGGTCCCAGAAATGTATTAGTCGTCGTCCGCGACCGCGGCAAACTCATTAACATCTACCACGGCCGTGTAGACAACATCATGAACTCCCGTGGTCATGGAAACGTTTGACGTTGTCCACGATCGGGGGAAAATCATGAAAATTTTTTTCGGCCATGTAGACCTCATCATCGTCTCCCGGGGTCGCAGTAACGTCATCGCCGTAGTCCGCGATCGCGGCAAAATCATCTTCCGCGATCATTGACTCCCGTGGTGGTCACGGAAACTTTATCGTCGTCTCGCGCGATTGCGGCAATATCGGTAATTTTCCAGCATTATAAGTGATGGGTTTTGGTACTGTACCGACATTTTCCCATCGGTTCTCGGTTCTGATTCTTTTGCCAAGAACCGGCGGAACCGACATTTGACATGGAACACCGACCCATCCAACATAAAATATTGGTGTGTGCTGCAGTGTCTGAGCACGTCACTGGAGACAGGCAGTGAAGTGTAAAATTCCTTCAGTTAGTTTGGCCTAGCCAATTATGGATGGGGCTCGCTCATATTTTGAGGTTAAACATTGTACAAGTATATGGCTTGCTTCATTTGTGATTTTCAGTATTATTATGGTGTATTATTATGGTGTGTCTTTGGGCTTCGGCCTGCTTGTTGTGTGCGACCAGCATTCAGTGGGCAAATCCTCGACTTTGGAAGTAACCTTTCCTGGAGGTGAAAACGGGCAAGTACCCGTAGCTCACGGGGACACTCAAGGGCAACGTAACTTTCCGCAGTGTGAGGGCAACGGTTTGTAGGCACTTATGCAAACCAATCCCTGTCTCTGAGCACGGACGGTATGGTTATCTTGAGTGTGGGGGGTTCTTCCCGGAACCTCAATTGAGTCAAGGGTGTCGCCACCTCTGGTGGATAGGTTCATCCGGGTGGGTCCCACTTCTATACCTGCCTCCTTTTGGGAAACCCTGATGGCCTGGCAGTGATGTTGGGTCTGACGGGCAAACGAAGTAGATCGGGTGCTGGGTCCGAGCCCGCCAGGGGTATCTGGGGATCTATCGCTCTGGTTATCTCTGGTTTCCCAGCAATGGGTAAGGCCTCGATCGGGTAGTGGTGTAAATGGGAGGTTGGGGTTCCCCCCGTCAGCGTGCTGACGGTCCCCTTCCTCCTGGCTATTGATGGCGGGTTCTGCCTGTCAGGGATTAGATAGGTCCCGAGTGTTACTTGCACTAAATGCGTCGGGGCGCTCTACCATGGACCTCTAGGTCCTGACCTAGTGGAACCCAGGTGGAGTGACGCTTAAACAAGCAGCCGGAATCCCTGGTTAGGATTGAGGGGCAACCCTCCTTCCGAAGGGTCTGCTTCGGCAGCCGGCGAGCCTGATGACCTTAAGTCATCCGCCCATGATGTGCTAAAGGTTGATGCGTAAGCTTCGGCCTACATCATGGGGCCCGGGTATGTCCTAAAGGATAGGTACCGGGTATGCAGTCAGGGGGCTTCGGCTCTCATGACAAATAAATAAATAAATAAATAAATAATAAATAATTATTATGGTGTATCCGAGTACTTTCACCCTGTTTTTTTTCCTGCATTTGACAATACTGAGGGCCTGTTAGCAATTTGGTTTAGTACTAAAACTATCTGTAGGTTTCTTGTAGAACTACATTCTATTGGATGAAACTGAATATTTTCATGCTTTCATCCACATAGATCCTGCTCCCGGCTGTGGCCCGTCATTTTGGAACCACACCGAATGTGTTACCCAATTCGTAAGAGCCTACCTAACATATGCTAATTTAAATTTGTTTTTTGTTCTTATTTTCCTTTATTACTAATACTGAAGGACCACAATCCTATGGGTGTTATAGATGATCTGGCAGATGGCTGTAGTGACACTTGGGCCACTAGTACAACGGGTGTCCAAGACAATCATGGTTGTTCGCTGCAAAGTCACCTCCAAACACCCCCTCGGCTACCTCCACGTGACCTTCTCTCCTGCCAAGACAAAAGAGCAAGCCAGTCACTTTCTTTGTAGCTGTCCTGCCTTCAAGGTTAGTGGAATAGACATAGAGCCTTTACTTCACAAAGTATTTACAACAAGAGACTTGTTTTTTAAATAAATTCAGTCTATATCAATTTGGTTGTCGGACAAAAAATATTTAGCCTAATGTGCAGATGTTCTATGAAGTGTCTTTAAATACAAAAACTTACTTTCTAATTTCAGGGTCAGGGATCAAGAAACAGAGGAGATGAAGTGATGCATGACCGCAGATGTATTCACTATTACTCATGTGTAGCCGCATTTGCTGGGGATGATAAGTTGAGTGAAGAGTTTGCCAGTTTCGTTGAACTTGAACGATCACAAGAAATTGTGTTAAATCTTCAAGAACATTCAGGTACACATAGTAATGATTGGGTTCCAACGTTCCAAGAGAATACTATTCTATGATTCAGTCGATGCCAAAGATTTGTTTGACATTTGACTAATCTAGATAAGTACCTATATAAAAAGATAATTTACAATTTCGGATAAAAACAATTTGTAACATTGTTTTGCTTAAAGACCTGTTGCATTAATGGGAACTGCATTAAACCACTGGCATACTTGTATGGAATATTTTGGTCGCGACACTGAAGCACTCTGCCATTCCTAGACGGAACTGACAGAACTGTCCCGTCCTAGGACATTGCGACCAGTTCAATATTATTTCGGTAGATCGCAGCACTTGTGGGGTTGATAATTGTTTTCTGTGCATCTGCAAGTTATTTAGTGCATTTTTAGTTTCTTTGGTTTCCTAACCTGTTATGGAAAACAAAAATATTAGTAAACAACAAGTGATAGTTTGGTGGTTATGTTTTGTGTCCAAATGCTGCGACCGTCTGGTTTTTGATCGAGTGAAATAGAACAGTAAGTTATAATAGGCTATAGAAAATATTGTATGATTGTTCGATCCTCCTGAGGAGGAAGATAATAATTAGAGACAAAGTATTAATGAATAATTAGGCTAGAGCTGGTATTTTTTAGTCACTAAAAAGGAAAAAAACAAAAAAAACTGAAATTCCATGTGATTAGGTAGTGTGATTTTGGTATGCCAATGGGTTAAAGAAAAGACAAGTTCTCAAGAAAATATGAAAATATGTATTGAAATATTCTGTCAGGGTAGTATTTTTGTCTAAAACCTTATGCAAACTTCTTGATACTAGTCCATCGGTCATAGGAGAAGCATGAATTATTCGTTAAGTAGATTTATACTCAATGAAATGTGATTTGTTGTGATAGGTGGTGAGAGTGAGGGAGAGAGAGAGAACAGAGTGGTTGCCGTTCTGTCTGACCCTGAGAACAACCTGCAGCTAGAGGTAGAAGTCCTGACAGATGATCAGACCATGCTGCAGCAGTACATTCTACCAGAATCTGACATTTCCAGGGTAAGCTCAAGTAATATCTTAACACGTTTGCTGTAGTTGCTTGATTGCCGGCCACCGCTGGGTGCGGGAACAGCTAATGCGCTGCATGGTTGAGTGCGCAAAAAAGTTTAAATTTAGTTTCACCCAATAGGAGAAAATTGACAATAGGGGCAATATTCTTTATTAACATATTCGTTGAGAATAGTATAGCATCATATGTACAGGTGGGTTACAGAAACATTTCATATTTTAAGGTCACAAGATGAATTCTTTTTCGGTGTAGAATGGTCTCACTAAGAACCATTCTGTGAGTTTTTTCTTGACAGCGGCTGAATTATTTTGTTGTTTTGGTTGTTCTGGAAGGAGGTTAAAGTATTTAGCTCCTTTGTAGGATTGTTTTCTTTCAGTAAGTAATAGCTTGTGGATTGGAAGGGTGAAATCTAACTCATGTCTGGTGTTGTGATGGTGTAGGTCCTTATGTCTGCTTTGTTGGGTGGCTATTGCGTGTATGATGGTTTGACAGATGTTGAGTGACACCACAGAGGCATATTATATCATGCACATTAACAGGCTCAAGCACAATTTTGAGGTTAGGTTCCTCCCACAGTGCTACACTATACTGTACAGTACAGTCATTATCACTATCGTCTTCCATATAAATAAATCTAAGCCAAAACCCCATACTAAACTGTTCAAAAAGCACTGACACATTAAGATACAAGTATGGCCAACCAAACAGAATTGCTCTGAAATGACTTACAAAAACTGGCACAACACGCAGTACTATAACAATTTTCCCCGCTGAAAGCTGGGCTCAAAGCGAGACAATGTTAGTGAGTAGCTACTACATTTATTGTAGGCCTCAAGAGTGGTAGTGCTCCGGTACTGCAATAATAGTAGCCTACATGTTATAAAATAGTACAGTGCTAAATAATAGTGATTAATAATACGGTGTTATATAATAGTAGCTGTACATGTTAATATAATCTAGCTTTCAAGTTGGACCATTCAATTCCTTGCTCTTGGATCATAAAACTGATCTGTGACAGATATATGTTGAAAACTTAACGTCAGAAACATGTTGCCATTAATTGTTCTGTGATCTGTTCATTCATCTAGCCAAATTTGGTTGAATTGTTAGAATAAGGAGGATAGCAACTAGCTTACCTTGAAAAAGTGTAGGTAGGCTTAATAGAACATACAGAGGAGAGACTGTGCATACAATATATTTAGGGATGGACGAGATTGGATTTTTAGTTGGAGACAAGACGAGACGGGACTTTTTATTTCTCATAAAATTTTGAGACGGGATTTCCCTTCTTATACATAACGGGAAATGCACGTTCCACAATTTAACCTGATTTTTTAACATTTTCAGTTCAAGCCATGGGTGTAGATAAAGTTTGGATTAATATGAAAGAGTCAAATAATTATTATAGTAGCCTACTTTGTTATGTTGACAGGTAGGAGAGTTTGAGACCATCACAGAGAATGATGTCTCAGATGTTTGTCTACAAGGTCTGGAGATCATCCCTGATCTGTCTACATCACCTGATCTACTCTCCTCTATCAAACAAGATCCTATACCCAAGGGACTCCTCAGGGTATGTGCTAAATTTTCCTATAAGGAAGTAGCTATTACCGTAGGTGGCGCGGTAACACCTGGGCCCGGAACTGTTATACTTTTTCATTTTGATGTCCCTAGAGGCCAAAAACACTAGTCGTTCAAATTTGTATATAATATGTAGGCCTATATTTAGATTTATATTATGTTTTCTATATTAGTTATTAATTACTTAGTAACCCTCATAAGTGAACAAGTTTACAACATAGATTTAGGGTGTCTACCTGTCACAGAAGTCCCTAACAAGTCCCGGATTTTAGTAGAGGGCCACGTAAGTGAATAAAAGTCACATATTTTCTAACTAAGGTCACCGAAAAATTAATATCTGGATGAGCAATACGGGCGTACTAGCTGGCCCAATCTCTTTATATTTGTTAGTTAATATTATTCAACGAAATATTATTTTTTTTACACAATATATGTATAACACTCAAGGATAGCCGGTTTAAATTAGTTGTCAGGTTTATATTTATATTTAAGGATTTGTTTTATATTCAAATAATTGTAGGTCATATTTTATATTTGTTGTGAAATCAAATACTGTATCGTATGCATTCCGAGGTCACTGGTTTTTTTTTATTAGGTCACCAAAAGTCCCCTATTATACTTTTAGTGAACTAGTAAACACCACATTCGTGAACACGATAACTTTAGTAATTTTGTCCGATTTAGATTAAATTTGGCTTGAAGGTTTAGGGCGGAATAAACTTGAATGATCGCGAACCAGCATGATCGGACGATGGGAACAGGGGTTTATGGGGTAAAAATTGGTTTATCTCATTTTTGACACCCAAAACAAAAAAATTCCCAATTTCTCTTTAAACCATTTTAAAGAATAAAAAAAAAAACAAATAGCTAATTTATTATTTGAATTGTCTTTTTTTGGTTATTGGTTACGGAGAATATTTGAAAAACTTTAATTTCAAACTCCCGTGTTATTCTTATGGGGAATAAGTTAACCTTTGTAGTTTGCTTGTTTAAGGATATATTTTGATCAAACTTGGCAAATATATTCAATTTATACTAAGCTTTTAATATTTTGCTAAAAACACACTTCATTGCCCTCCCTGTAGCAGCAAACCTAGGTACTTGTTGAACCTAATGCTATTTAAATAGATATAATTGAAAATCCAATCAGACAAATGGAAATAAGCTTAGTCTGCAGGCTTTCTGCAGCGGGGGTGTTATATTTATATTTTATGTTTAGAGGAATTTTTATGTGACATTTTAAAATCAGCATTTAAAATAAACTTTGATTTTTTAGTTTCATGGAGTAAAACGAAAAAAAGAAGAAAGTTCAGCATCAATCTCAGGAGCAATTGAGCCTAAGAAATCTAGAAAAAAGATTCCACCAAAGCCTGAGCCTAACCAAGGTATGATTATTGTACTTAGAAAAATACAAATTGTTCAATTAGAATGGTAATAAGTAATAAATAAAGCACTTTAAATACAATTTGATTTTGTGAGGGGTGGAATTGGAATTTAAATAATAGCTTTAATTTTCACATAATCAGTCTCTGCCATTTGGTTCACAAGTTTACTAAAATCCCTTGAGGATATTTAACAATTCAATAACAAATTAACAATTTGTAAGCCTTTAAATCAACTAGGACAATTTGGACTAAAGAAATGTAAATAGTAAAAAAAAAAAACATTTGAGTAGAAATATACTGTCGTTTTTTTTAAAGGGATAGATTCTATTTTTATTATCCGAAGAAAAAAATAGACTGAAGTTGCTTAGAGGTAAAAAGAACATGTATAACACTAAATCAAGGTTTTGGTTGAAAACTTTTCAGACAGTAGATGGATGTAAGAGTATCTAATATACTTGTGGAAACTATCTCCTCCGTGATGAACTCCTAGGGTGAAATATCAGTTGTGGAGATAGTAACCTTATTCAACTAAATTCAATATTCTTTAAGCAATTTGCTTTCAAATAGCTGTCCTAGTTGTGCCAAAAGTTTGCATATTGTAGCAAATAAAAACTAGCAAATAAAAATTCCCTGTTCTTGCCTTGTGGTCTTAGTTTATAACCCTAACTAGTTGATGCGTTTTTTGTGAATTTTTGACACACCTCTTCAGGTAAGAATAGTTCTTATAAGGATCTGACAATGGCATACTCGCCAGAATGTGTGTAAACCAGTAGGATAAAAACTTTGACATTAAGGCGACAACAGGTAATTACATTTTTTTATTTGTCAAATAATTGGTCCGGAAACACCACAACAACAAAATGCAGGCCACTGACGGTTAGCACGATTCTGCACCATGATGTGCACCTTAATTATTATTCCATGAGTTTGAATGACAGTGTTATGTGAGCTATATAATGTAAGGGTGTGTTGGTGTGACAGTGAGGGACGAGGCTACAGTGCAGCAGTCGTTCACTCAATGGCTGGCCACTGTGACTGAGAGGATCAACCAACAGATGCACTATCAGTTCAGTGGCAAACCTCAACCTCTGGTCTTTCACACACCTCAGGTAACCAAGTTAAAAATAAAAATGTAGGTAAGTGGAAAAATGTACTGTCACAGAGTGGACAGTGAAGGTTCAAGATTTTTGTTGTAAAATATGCTGTTATATGTTGTAACTAGGGATGGACCGATTCTGATGAAAAATCACCGATACTCGATACATCGCTTTATTGTACTCGATACCAATTCTGAAAAATTAGGATAATTATGATGCAAAACTTGACTGACGTTGAAGGTTGTAAAGAGTGGCACATCATAGTTTATTTGGAATACTCTGAAGTCTCGATATAATAATCTTTTTATATTTAATTGGAAACTTTTTTTCTTTGTCACAACTAATTTGAGAGAATGGCTGGGCATAGAAAGTTGATAGAGGTAAATTAATAGTGGTTTACAGCAACATGATTACAATTTTATTAATGTTAATGTATAAATGTGTGAATGATTTGGAAAGTCATCAAGATGGAAAATTGGAATTTACTGCAGACTTTTTAGAGAGGTTAAGTACTTCAATGTTATCATCACAATATTTTTAGAGGGCCAAAAATGTTTGTAGTTTCAATTTTGAGTTACGAATCTCACAACTGGCCGACCGAATCTCAAAACCGAAACTTCTCCAAAGTTCTGGTGGTTTAGGGAATTAAAATTATATTAAACTAGCAACAGTGCCCGTTGTGGTTAAATACAACGGTCTCTAGTAAAATAATGGTTATGAAATCCATACACCACTTTACTTACTAATATTAATGGTACAGTTTAAGCACATAACATTGGAATCACACAATTAACATAAGGAACACACTTTAAACACAAATGCAAATTGTTAACAACAACATATAATCAAAGAAAAATTAATTAGATACTGTAACAATATAACAATTAGCTGTTGAATTATTAACACGTTTCGTATGATTAGATTATGCATACTGGTAAACCAATTATTGTCATCTATAAAAATAAAGGTTTTTCTTTTCCGAGTCGTGTTAGCTCTTCTACACGACCGATTGTCATAATTTTGGCCTTAAAAAGATATGGACGTACCGCAGATTTGCCATCAAGCATCGGCATTCATTTTGACGTATATTTCGAGCTATGCACAAACTGCCTCCCTGTACATTTCTTTTGGAAGTTAAATTTGGTTTGTTTCGAGTTCAATGTTTCGCAGGCGGGCGATGGTTTACAGGAGAGCTCTTCTACCCTCCCGATTTTCATAATTTTGGTCTTAAAGCTATGAAAGCACATATTTGTCATCAAGCATTATCATTAGTTTATCTAATGTATTACTCGACGAAAGAATTTTTTTCACTTCAATTAACGATGTATTCCAGCAGTTCTAATTACATTATACATTTAAGTCTAAAAACCAGCTCTCATTCAAGCTATTGTTTATAAAGATCGGACTACCTAAAGCACACTGCTCAATCACGAATCAACAATAATTTCAATCGTTTTAGTACCTATCTGCAATCAATGATACGTAACTCTATTTTTATTTAAGTTATTTTATATGTCTTTGTCTTAAAATACTTCAAAGGCTTTCACTTGAGATATTGATAGTTTTAATCAGTTAAGTTCAAGATACTGTATCGCTTAATCAGAAAATATAAATTTGATTATATCTTGAATGTGGAATTTAGTTTTATATATATATTTACTTAATTCTAATTATGTTATTCTATTTGTTTTGACCTTTGAACCTTCATTGAAATACCATCTTCCATTTCATTAAAGCACACAGCTAAATCACGACCATCACAAATTGTTCAAAAAATGGAGTTATTTATCATCGATTTATAGCCAAACGATCTTGCTTGCAACCTCAACAGTACTTTCATAATTATTGGCAAATCTTCACAAATTAGGCTATCCAATGACCTATTAATTAATAAAATCGGATCAGTAGAACTGTAGATTTAATTGTACAAAGCTTAACAACAATATCTTTAACACTTAAAGTGACACGTGTTAATTCAGTATTTTCTCAATACTATAAATTTGGAGGTTGCTTAGCGTTTTTGCAAATAACTTTGAAATGGTGAGGAAATCGACCAAAGTGGAAGATGATATTCTGAAAGAGAATAAAATTTCCTACAAATTACTATCATGTACTTCTTGAAAATACTCAATAAAGGCAGCCTAAAGTTGGATACAAATATAAAATTGGAAATATAAACTTGGAAAAAAGGAGTTTTAAATGTATTATTTTATATTTTTATTGTTTTCACCTCAAATATCTAATAAAATCAAACTTTCATAATTATTTGCAAATCTACACAAATTAGGCTTTCCAACGACCCATTAAGTAACAAAATCGGTCTGGTAGAAGTCTAGATTTAGTTGTACAAAGTTTAACAAAAATATATCTAATTCAGTATTTTCTCACCACTATAAATTTGGAGATCACTTAGTTTATTGCCAATATCTTTTTAATGGAGGGGAAATCGACCAAACTGAATGTGATATTCTGAAAGAGAATAAAATTGACTACAAATAACTACTATCCATTTCTTGAAAATACTTAATAAAGGCAGCCAAAAGCTGGCAACAAATAGAATCTTGAAAACAGAAACTTGAAAAAAGCAGTTTTTAATGTATTTTTGTTATTTTTACTTTTTTGCCACAAATATTTAATAAAATCACAATTTTATAATTATTTGCAAATCTACATGAGTTAGGCTTTCTAATGACCCATTAATTAACGAAATCGGTCCAGTAGAAGTCTAGATTTAGTTGTACAAAGTTTAACAAAAATAACCCAAACTCAATATTTTCTCATTACTATAAATTCGGAGGTTGCTTAGATTTTTTGCAAATAACTTTTAAATGGTGAGGAAATCGACCAAAGTGGAAGGTGATATTCTGAAAGAGAATAAAATTTCCTACAAATTGATACCATGCACTTCTTGGAAATATTCAAAAATGGCAGCTAAAAGTCGCACGCAAATAAAAAGTGTGAAAAAGACCGTTTTCAATATATTTCTTATGGAAAACATGTTTTTTTAAACTTTTCACCATAAATCATAACAAAAACAAACTTTCATAATTATTTGCAAATCTACTCGACTTAACCATTCCAACGACCCATTAATCAATAAAATCGGTCCAGTAGAACTCTAGATTTAGTTGTACAAAGATTTTTAAAACTGAATTATATATAGAATAGATTTTTAGTTTTGTGTCTATCCAAGTAAATAGGATTTTTTGTCATTTTAAAAGTGAATGATCCTAACCCTGACCTTGTTATTATCTTACAACAACTTGTTAGATTGCATCATTAATTGATAGTCCAAGGCCATAGGCATCTGGGTCCATTAACAATCCCGCTTGGAATCAAACCAGTGATTTTAAGATTTGAAGGTAAGCACTGTAAAAACTTTGCTACCCAGACAATTAAATGTTTTGACAGATCACTATTTCATACTATTTTTAACTCTCAATTTGTTACTTTAGGAGTTCTTCGACTGCCTAAGGGAGCGTATCTCTTACGGAGGCAAGAAGCGTCGCCTTCCAAACACAACATCTGCGTTTGTCCGTAAACACGCTGTTCCCCTGGGCACTTTCACTAAATACACCTGGCACATCAACAACATCATTCATTGCAAGCAGATCTTTGAAACACCGCTGGTAATTTATATTTTTATTTGCCATTTATCAGGAAAGTCTTGCTCAAACAGTGAGACTTTAAAATATGGTTTTTCCCCAGAAAATGTTTTTATTTAAGGCTCAAATAAGTAAGTTAATAGCAGCAGCAACTTCTAAAAAAAAATAATAATAATACCCAAGCTATGTAGCAAGTTCAATTTTTACCCATGTAAGCTATTTAGCTTATTTATTTTCCCTTTCTTTTTCTAGATGCCTTTGGAAATTACAAGAAGTTTTGTTGAAAATCAAGATGGTACCTATGATGCCTATGAGGCATCAAACATGAAGGATGAAGCATTTTCAAAAATGGATAATGGTCCAAGAATAAGACCACTTGAGCTGAAGACCTTCCTGAAAGTTGGTAAGTGAAATAAATAGTGATGCGTCAATACCAAAATTTATCGATCCTCGATACCGATACCGCTGAAAAATCGATTCTTGATACAGTGACCACTTTTTTTATAGTTTTACCAAATTGTCTGCCTGTCTCTATGTCCTTCTATAAATTATTTTTGAGGAAAAAAGGGGTGTTTATCAAGTAAAGAAAACATTTATGAAACAATGAAAAGTTCTAATTAGCCAATTTAAGTTAAAACCCTTCCGAACACATGAAATAACTACCATATTAAAGGTAAATGAAGAGCTAACACCGAGAAATAAAATCATAACTAGAGGTGTGCTAGCCTGATATTTTCAGTCAAGCCAAACTCAAAGTAATTTTATGATCATTGGTGTCATATGGGATCCCTGCAAAATCCTGAACATCATCCTCAGTCACAGAAACATCATCATTGTCTTTTGCGGTCGCGGCAAAATCTATTACAGTGTCAAGCCGACCTGGAAACCAGGAGAACCGGGTATATGAATTATGATGACCGGGAAAAAATCTGTGAATTGTGTGTAAATTTGGTCAAGAACTAGGAAATTTTTTTTAAAAGTACAGTAGAACCTCTTTAATCCGAACCAATTGGGACCGGGGGTAGTTCGGATTATTGAATAGTTCGGATTACAGAACATATTGGTTTTTTACATAAGAATAGCTAAAATGGCTCTTAATTGTTACAGAAAGAGTGAAAAAATGCTTTATAAAGTATAATACAGTGTTTATTTAATACAGTAGTAAATATAGTAAATAAACAGTACTGTAAATTACAATAGAAACAATTACGGTGCGTACGTATACAATAAATAACTACTGTACTGTGTATAGAGTACAGTTCAATGAGGCGTTCGGATTACGGGGGTTCAGATTAAAGAGGTTCTACTGTATCTGAAAACCCCACCCAAAATTACCAGTTTTCTCGTCTAGGGTCATTGAAAATCGCGATCGTGGGACAAATAACAGACGTAGCCACGATCGCTGAAATATCACGGGCGTAGCCGCTATAACAGGAAATCAGCACGGATGTTGCCATTCATAAGTTAGATTCATTAATTCCATTTCTCATAAGGTTAACATGGGAAACTCCAGAGCCACTGGGGCGGAGCCGATTGGACGGATCACGAAATTGATGGGGTGTATAAACCTATTCCATGAAATTCTACACGTATGTACCAAGTTTCGTGGCAATCGGTTCAGCGGTGTCTGAGTTTATCACTGCCAAACATATATATATATATACAAACATCCTCTTTTATACTTATAGATTGTCTCTGCCCAAAAAAAAAAAAAAATTAGGGGGGGTTGTACATGACATTGTATGAAATCATCGCTATTATAGTTTAACGTGATCATGGCAAATTATATTAGTACAGTTATTGATGTGATAATGGGAAAACATCACCGTTGTTGCTGGATCAAAGAAAATTATCACGGATTTGGTTGTGATCGCGGGAAATCCTCACGGATGTGCTGTGATTGCGGGAAATCATCAGGGATGTGCCGCGATCGTGGGAAATCATCAGGGATGTGCCGCGATCACGGGAAATCATCACAGGCGTGACAGGGTAATGGTATTGGAATTGACTTTTTACTATCGATTCTCGATACCGATACCGATACCAACGTTCAAGTATCGGTGTTATCGAGGATCGACACATCCCAAAAAAAAAAAAAAATTAATTAATCCACCATGACTGAAATCCGTGATCGCGGTATTATCAGGATCATCTTGGATGACATGTAAATCCCAATGATGGAGAAGACATAATCATTATCTCTCTTGATCGCGGCAATTTTTCAACATTTCCTGGGATGGTGAAGGCATCATTTTCGTATCCCATAATAGTGGCAAAATTGAGATAATGTCTGTGATTGCAAAGACATCATCACTGTCTCTAGTTATCGTGGCAAAATGCAATAGCAATAATTAAAAAACCAAAACTGACATTTTCCACCAAATACCAGTTTTGGTTTTTTTTATGAAAACCAACCCACTCTAATGGTTACACTTATGATGTCGCAGATAGCACTAGTTATAAGATACAGGATTAGCAGGTCTAAAAGGTTAGTTTTGCTTGATGTTTACAGGTAATACTGCTCCAGACCAGAAGGTACCAACACCCATGATCATTGAATGGATCCCAGACATCCTGCCCAAAACTAAAGTTGGAGAACTGAAAATCACCTTTGAGTTTGGTCATAGGAGGCCATAGCACTAGCACCTTGCAGGTTTGTAATAATTTTTATAAGAATACATTTTTCTTATCAAAAATTACATGTTCATGCTTATAATGATTCATCTATATAAATAAAACTAGCTGTACCCGCGGGCTTTGCCCCGTTTAACTTCATAAGTGAGCTCGTTCGCATGGCTCAATCACGTCCTGGTTGAACCCGCGGGCTTTGCCCCGTTTAACTTCATAAGTGAGCTCGTTCGCATGGCTCAATCACGTCCTGGTTGAAGTTCGTTCGCTACGCTCACTCACTTTTAGGTTAGAGCTCGTTCGCTGCGCTCACTTGCCTTCAGGTAAGCTCTTTCGCTACGCTAACAGAGAAGTAAGATATACAGATGAAACATGCTTATGGAACAACTGTGCGCTTTTAGCTCGGGAATGGTGGGCCGGAAATATACTAGTACCGAGCCAGGAAGAGTCAGAACGGCTATTGTTTACAACAGCAGGGCACACGTCTAGTTAAAAATAAAACTTAATCATTTTAGTTCGACATCATCGTGAAGATGACGAAGATTTAAAATTCGGGAAATTTTTATTCTTATTTTTGGATGAGAGAATTTTTGAATCAGCAATGTCTCGAGGTTATCATTGTCTTGCTAGAAGTCTGCAGAGTTTTTACAATCAAATGTTTACAATATTGCTGCCATTGGTATGAATAATTTGTGTTTAAATAATTCCAAAATCCATATTTAAGTTTATTCTGGAATTGGTATTGCATCTGAATTTATGAAGTATCGAAAAATCACGATTTCTCAATACCACTTGTACTAAAGGCGGAATTGAGGAAATTGGAAGCAGTATTGTCCTACCACTAGGGTAATTATTTTTGAGCTATGTTATACTCTTTCATAAATATTTTAGTAATCCACATGTATTTTTTCAGGTTTGGGCTAATGATGAATCTACAAGGCTTATGTGTATTTATACTTTAATACTTTTAATTGAAATGGCGACCATTTGTTGTACAGTTCTTGATCTCATTTTGCTTGCTAAATTATTTATTATTTATTTGATCACATTATACGCTTCATTATTTTGTTATTTATCTGTACATCCATCTTTTATTTTATAGTAATTTTATTTTTAGTTCACAAAGCAGGTCTTGTGAATAAAATGTTATCATTAATGTTTGTTTCTTCTCAATTAACACCTTAAATTTGATTATTTCTGTAAAATAAAAACCTTAGTTAATAAATCTATCGTCCAAGAAATAAAGTTACTCACACTACTCACCCACTAATGGTGAGTAATGAACAAATAGACACATTATTTTTCCTACAGTTACCTAACAATGTGCATGTTCTCTCACTAATTTGAGAAAGCAAAGTGGCCAATTCGCTCATCAGTGAGACAATGTTAACATTGTCTCACTCTAATTACTTTGTCTCACTCCAGATTTGCAAAGTGAAGGCACGAAATAGTGAACGCGTAACATGCAGGCAACGTCGTATGCGCGCGAAATACATTGGCAGCACTGGCTGTAAATCAGCTGGTCAGCTGTTGTACTGTTGTATTTGTCACTTTGTGAGGGAATTTCCGTGTGTGTGTGTCGTTTTCGTTATCTTATCGCCAAAGATAGTTCAGCAGTGCTGGGTTTAAATTTCCAGGGGTCGATGTGAATCAACAAAATATTGTTGATGTGAAATCCCACTCAATATTAATTTCGTTTCGAATAATCTAAATTATCAATCGTCTGTGTTTAATCAAATTCCTTTATTGAAATGATAGGGTAACTCAGTGATATGTGTGAACCAGTTGTCGCTATTCACTCATCATCGTTACCCTATCAGACGCGAGAGAAAACGTTGTCGTGTATAATCTATGTGTCGTGTTATCTGTTAATTCAATTCTCGCGTTAGAGTCTATTTCAAGAATTAGGTTCGATAGCTTGTACAGCTAGTTAGGATGCTGAATGTTCTTCGAGCAAACTAGGATCGGTATCAAAGGTTATAGGATCAAACTAAACCTTGCTACGCTCCGATCGTTACCCTAACCCCACGCAAATGCGCTCTATACAACCAAGAGGGTAAGGATAGATAGCCTGCACAGCTAACTAGGATGCTGAATATACTTCAGCAATCTAGGATAGGTTACGGTAGGTTAATCGTTACCTAAACGCCCGTATAAACCTCGTTCGCTACCCTAAACCCCACGCAAATGCACTCTAAACAACAAAGAGGTTAAGGATAGATAGCCTGCATAGCTAACTAGGATGCTGAATATACTTCAGCAATCTAGGATAGGTTACGGTAGGTTAATCGTTACCTAAACGCCCGTATGAACCTCGGTCGCTACCCTAAACCCCACGCAAATGTGCTCTAAACAACAAAGAGGTTAAGGATAGATAGCCTGCACAGCTAACTAGGATGCTGAATACACTTCAGCAAACTAGGATAGGTTACGGTAGGTTAATCGTCACCCAATCGCCCGTGTGAACCTCGTTCGCTACCCTAAACCCACGCAAATGCGCTCTAAACAACAAAAAGGTTAAGGGCAGATAGCCTGTACAGCTAACTAGGATGCTGAATATTCTTCAAGCAATCTAGGATAGGTTACGGTAGGTTAATCGTTACCTAAACACCCGTATGCACCTCGTTCACTACCCTAACCCCACGCAAATGCGCTCTAAACAACCAAAAAGGTTAAGGGCAGATAGCCTGTACAGCTAACTAGGATGCTGAATATTCTTCGAGCAAACTAGGATCGGTATCAAAGGTTATAGGATCAAACTAAACCTTGCTACGCTCCGATCGTTACCCTAACCCCACGCAAATGCGCTCTATACAACCAAGAGGGTAAGGATAGATAGCCTGCACAGCTAACTAGGATGCTGAATATACTTCAGCAATCTAGGATAGGTTACGGTAGGTTAATCGTTACCTAAACGCCCGTATAAACCTCGTTCGCTACCCTAAACCCCACGCAAATGCACTCTAAACAACAAAGAGGTTAAGGATAGATAGCCTGCACAGCTAACTAGGATGCTGAATATACTTCAGCAATCTAGGATAGGTTACGGTAGGTTAATCGTTACCTAAACGCCCGTATGAACCTCGGTCGCTACCCTAAACCCCACGCAAATGTGCTCTAAACAACAAAGAGGTTAAGGATAGATAGCCTGCACAGCTAACTAGGATGCTGAATACACTTCAGCAAACTAGGATAGGTTACGGTAGGTTAATCGTCACCCAATCGCCCGTGTGAACCTCGTTCGCTACCCTAAACCCACGCAAATGCGCTCTAAACAACAAAAAGGTTAAGGGCAGATAGCCTGTACAGCTAACTAGGATGCTGAATATTCTTCAAGCAATCTAGGATAGGTTACGGTAGGTTAATCGTTACCTAAACACCCGTATGCACCTCGTTCACTACCCTAACCCCACGCAAATGCGCTCTAAACAACCAAAAAGGTTAAGGGCAGATAGCCTGTACAGCTAACTAGGATGCTGAATATTCTTCAAGCAATCTAGGATAGGTTACGGTAGGTTAATCGTTACCTAAACACCCGTATGAACCTCGTTCGCTACCCTAAACCCACGCAAATGCGCTCTAAACAACAAAAAGGTTAAGGGTAGATAGCCTGTACAGCTAACTAGGATGCTGAATATGCTTCAGCAATCTAGGATAGGTTACGGTAGGTTAATCGTTACCTAAACGCCCGTATAAACCTCGGTCGCTACCCTAAACCCACGCAAATGCGCTCTAAACAACAATAAGGTCAAGGGTAGATAGCCTGTACAGCTAACTAGGATGCTGAATATGCTTCAGCAATCTAGGATAGGTTACGGTAGGTTAATCGTTACCTAAACGCCTGTATAAACCTCGGTCGCTACCCTAAACCCACGCAAATGCGCTCTAAACAACAAAAGGGTTAAGGGTAGATAGCCTGTACAGCTAACTAGGATGCTGAATATACTTCAGCAATCTAGGATAGGTTACGGTAGGTTAATTTGGATAACTAAGACCCCCCCCTATCCTTTAATGATCCCAAATAATCAACAGGCTAACGCTAGCTATGCGAGCACTAAAACAGCTATCCTAGGCTATTTATAAAACAGCTATCTATATTCACGCAATCGTTCAAGTCAATCAAGTTGGATAATAATAATAAGTATTATTATTATACGAAATAAAGATGTTATTAACCAATCAGTTGTTAGGCTATTATAGCTAGCGGCTATTCAGATCAAAATCAAATGCTATATCGCTAGTCAATGTCGAGGATCCAATCACTAACAACTATAATCAACGGATAAATATAAACTATTATTCCGGTAGTAGATTCGGTGTTAACTTCGATAGCTATCGATTTCAATACGATCGATAGTTCGGACCAGACGCAAAATAATAACAAAACGTCGAGCAGAACACTGTTGTGTTGTGCGTGGCAAATAGGTTATGTCGTTATTAAATCGTAAACACCTTATAGCTAATTAATTGTGTCTCGTAACTCTCTCTACGTTGAATTAAGTACCAGAAATTCGTTAAGCATACAAGATAGGGTAGTAGGCTATAGAATGGCGTACACTGCCCAAAGGATGCTGCTTATACTTCAGCAAAAGGAGAGGTGTTTGGAAGGCAACATTGAGTTTATATGACGTTATATTACACAAGCTTAGGCTATTGTCACCCTCAAATTATATAGTTCTTCAATAACAACTAGGCTAAGGCTTAACCTATTAAATCACTCCTTAACTGCGATACAAGAGGGTTTAGGTAATTGAGTAGCGTGTTCTGCCCAAAGGATGCTGCTTATGCTTCAGCAAAAGGAGGGATATTGGAAGGTGACACAGAGGTTATGTAATATAAGATGTGTAGGTAAAAATCCTTTAGAATACTCAATTGGCCTTGCTCAACTTTTGCTTTCCTCAATAGCCTAGTGTATGCTAACTCGTTTGGATTTGATATTGCTAGTCGGCAAAATTTCATTAACTTCAAACTAATTATTTCACAATTTAAAATCTAAATTAAATTGCAAAAAATACCAATTGATCACTGATCAAAATCGAAAACCTCGTTTATCGTGAACAAATTATCGCAAATCAATTAATCAATTTCGTTCGTGAATATCAAAACGTAAAACTACTAATTTCCCTGAATCATAAAATGATATCAAGTAGGCACTATACCTTAGAGAGAGACGTGTTGATTGGGTCACAAAATGGCACAGACTGTCCGGCGGCGCCCGGTCCCAGTGGTTTTGTTGCACGTCTGGGCCGGTCATGCGCAGAAACCAGTTTTGGCAGTCTGACTCGGCCTCGGCGGCGGCTCCATCGGCGCTCGCGCTAACTGCTTGAGCCTTACCTCACCGTGTTTAACCTCAAAAACCTTTGGTCTTTCGTACTACTTTTGATGACCCTCAACTAAAAACATTTTCTTCCGACTTCCATCGTGATCTTCTTAAAAAAAAAGTGAGGTGTAAAAAAACAACCCTTACATCCTCCACTCACTTCGTGGAAACAAAAAAAAGAAACGGAAAAGAAAAAAAAAAGCTCCTTATCTTCTTCAAAAAAATAAAAATTCTTCTAACTCAATCACCGTCTTCAACTATCTTCCTCGCTGTTTGGATCCAACTCCTTAGGATCTGATAAACCTCCGCAATCTCCTACGGGGCAAATAAAATAAAATTTCTTTCAAACAAAACAAAACTCTTCACCCTTCTGACGGGTTCATCGTTTGTAGGGCACCAGCCCCAACTTACGAATATTAATCCTCTTGAAGGTGTTGGTACCAGGAATTTGCACCTTCATGGTCCTTCTTTTCCCTCGTGTCTTCGCTGGGCGGTTTGTGGCACCCTCCTCGGGCTTCGGGGTCGGGGTGCTAGTACTCTCGCCTCCTACTGCTGAGCTTCGCATCAGAATCTCTGGCGGAACTGCTGTCGGTCCAAAGTCGATCTCCATGGGTTGGGTCGTCTGTAGCTGACTCGACTCGGTTTCCGGTTCGCTTATAATCTCAAAACTCTCGGTGGTGGAAGTCACGCTGACCCAGTCACGTAGCCTCCCAGGTGACATCGACAGGGTAGGTGACGCCGGCATCTGATCCATGCTGACTTCTTCTTCCGTCATCCCAGCCAACTCCAGTAAATCCGGTTTCGTCTGTGAACCTTCCTTCTCATTTTGAGCACTATTTCCACCTTCCACGGGCGTCACTGCGACCTCAGGCAAAGGGTCATCCAGGGCGCAATCGTCCCATTCGCTTTGGCTATCTATGTCTGCTGGTACAATTCCCATTGGGACAGGTGGTGCAATCCGTTCCAACTCTCGTGCTAACGTCTCGAAGTCCCAATCGACCTCCCCTGGGAATAAGTCTTCTTCCATGGGTTGGTCATCCCCGATGGCGGAAGCTCGCAGTGCTCTGGATATTTTCCGTCTCATCTCATTCGTATCCACGGTAAAATTTACTAAGGGCCCTCCTTGCGAAATTTCTGCTGCCACTGCGCACAGTAGAATGCCACAATCCGTGGTGTTCGTCTGGGCGGGACACTCTCGCCCTTTCCACAAAAGCCATTCTCGTTTGGCGCGGGTTGGAGTCGCAACTTCTGCTTGGTAGTCCAGATAGGCCCTCATGACCTCCAAATCTTTGGTTTGGTCCCGCCCTGTCACAGAGTCGTAGGCACTGATTGTTTTCGTCCTGATGTCTGCCACCATCAGCCACCAATGTCCCTCACGACCCAATCGAGGTTCATGGACGGGGACGAGGATGATGTCAAAGTCCAGGAGATTGAGGTTTTTATGGCGTCTCTGGATCCGATCAAATCCTTCCCGCTGACGTGCCGGGCATGCCTTCAAAGCGGGGAAAAAATATGTGTTCAACGCCATCACGTGAGGCAATGAAGGTCGGTTGCAGCTCCTCCGCTCAACGAGGCGTAGAAATGCATTGATCACTTCCCCATTCACCAAACGCCCGGGGAATAGGCACTCTGTGTCCTTCGAGGCGACATCCTCTATAGGGCGGAGTTGTCTTTTTGCAAAGGCCATGTTGTGAGTCGACTATCTATTTACAAGGTGTGAAAATGGAAGAAAAAAAAACAAGCACACTAATGAGGAACGTGCAATGCGAGGAATGAACTACAGAAAGCAAGGGGTGATAATGACAGTGCCAAGCAAAATTTTTGGTGCGAATTGGCAACAAGCAGTTAGCATGCAACTCTGGAAACAAAACACATGCTTAGTGATCTGGTTGGGCAAGCAATGATACTATACATGCTAGGCTCAGCTATCTACTACTTATTCCTAAGGTACTCACATGCCCGCCGTACCTGGACCAACTGCTTACACAGCAGGCGTCTCAGGCATACCCACGTATACCGTGGGTGTGTGGCATTGAACCGCTGACACCCATTTCTTCAAATCTTTAACGTGAGCCCGTGTCGTTTGTCTTCCGTTTTGCCCTTCGAGTTCATAAATGTTGGTTCCCACTTTTGCCCTAACAACGTAGGGTCCGTCGTAACGAGCTGCCAACTTTGCCGCAAACCCCTCGGTGGCTGAAGATAAATGATGTTGCCTCACCCAGACTCTATCCCCAAGATTATATCGGATGTCACGCCTGCGCAAATTATAATACTTCGCATGCTGACGGCTTGCTTTCTCTATATTAATCCTACACTTCCTCACGAGGTGCTGAAAACGTTCCATTCGTTTGCGGTTTTCGGTTGGATAGATGACCGCTGGGTCTGTATCTTCATCTGTTGACGAAACTTCAACGGGACCGTGTAAGGCGTTAGGAGTCCTGAGCTCCCGACCAAAATTCAACAGGGCTGGTGTGAAACCAGTGGCGTCGTGCGTTGCTGTGTTTATTGCGTATCGAAATTCATTTAGATACTCGTCCCAAGCTCGGTGATCCTCCTTTACGTACTGTGCTATCATGGTCTTGAGTACTCTGTTTGAGCGCTCCACCGGATTCTCCTGGGGGGTATATGGCGCCGTGAGTTGGTGTTCAATCTTCCAGCCGTCAAGCAAACCTCGCCAAATCCTCGACGTGAACTGAGACCCATTATCGGTTATCGCTATCTCGGGTGCCCCATATCTTAATAATATGATATTTCGAAACGCACTGGAGACAGCGGCAGCTGTTGCGGCTCGGAGGGGTGCCAACTCTATCCATTTCGTGAAGACATCTTGAACCACTAGCACAAATCTCGCCCCCTTCTTTGAACGTGGCAGGGGTCCAATCAAATCGGCCGTAACCGTGTACCACGGTCCCTGGGGTTTACGGAAGGCCATCTTACCCGCGGGCTTCGTTTGCTCTACTTTGTGAGCTTGGCCAACTCTTAACGTATGACCGCACATCTTTCATCATCCCGGGCCAATAGTATCTCTGTTGTATTCGTTTGCCGGTTTTACGTACCCCAAGGTGTCCGGCGGTCTCGTGGTCGTGGTTTTGGTGAAGGACCAAGTCCCTCTCGGCAGGCTTAACACAAAGCTTCCACACTATAGCTGGATCTACCACCTTTCCTTCTTTTGCGTTCCTCCTGGTATACAGCTGGCCTCCTCTAATGGCCCAATCCTCCGAGCATCTAGGGTTTCGCTTGGCCTTATAACACATTCGTTCATACCAATCTTTCCGGCGTCCTTTATCTCTCGGGACCACCTCCTCTACCTTACAAACTTGAATTTCGACTAATTCTCGAACGGGATGGCGAGAAAGTGCATCTGCCACTTTGTTCAAACTTCCCTTCCGATACTGGATCTCGAAGTCATGTTGCTGTAGTTCGAGAACCCACCTAGCTAATCGTCCTGAGGGCTGCTGGAGATTCATTAGCCACTTAAGTGCCTGATGATCTGTTACCGCAACAAACCGGTAACCCTCTAAATAGGGGCGAAATTTCTTTACGGCCCAGACGAGTGCAAGACACTCTTTCTCGGTCACCGTGAATTTCTTTTCACTGTCGGACAAAAGCCTGCTCGCGTAGGCAATGACCACCTCCTTCTTATCAATTTTCTGCGTGAGTGCGGCCCCCAAACCTTCGCCTGAAGCGTCCACCTGTAGCCAAAATGGGTGCTCAAATTCCGGACAAGCTAGTATTGGCGTGGAGGCAAGTTTCCGTTTCATAGTTTCGAAAGCCCTTTGCTGCTCATCGGTCCAGTCCCATTTAACATCCTTACGCAGCAGTTTGGTCAGCGGTGTGACTTCTTTCGCAAAGTTATCCACAAACCTCCGGTACCATGATGCCAGACCCAGAAAGCTTCGAAGTGCCCGTACATTTCGTGGTGTGGGGTATTCCTGAATCGCCCTAACCTTCTCCGGATCAGTACGGATCCCTCGGTCGTCTACAATGTGCCCGAGGTACTTCAATTGACGTTTACAAAACTGACATTTGTCGGGGTTGAGCTTCAGGCCGGCAGTCCTCAAACGGGTGAAAACGTCGCTCAATACCTGAAGATGTTCCTCAAACGATTTGCTAACAATGATCAAGTCGTCTAGGTAGGCGAAGGCCCTTGGCTCAAGTTCGGGACCGATAACTTTATCCAACAGCCGCTGGAACGTCGCCCCCGCTGAATGCAACCCAAATGGCATGACCACGAACTGATAAAGTCCCTTCCCAGGGACTGTAAAAGCTGTAACTGGTCGACTAGTTGCTGCTAGGGGAACTTGCCAATATCCTTGCTTTAGATCTAAAGTGGTTATAAATCGGGCTTCTCGTAGCTTTTCCAGGATCGAATTAATTTGTGGTAAGGGATATGCGTCCTTTTCACTCATCTGGTTAATCTTTCTAAAATCTATGCAAAACCTATATTTCCCTGTACTCTTCTTAACTAGAACGACTGGGCTTGAGTATGGACTCGAAGACGGCTCAATTACGCCTTCAGCTAACATTCGGTCTACTTCTTCGTCAATCACCTTCTGCATTGCCGGGTTTCGGGGGTAGTATCGCTGCTTCACCGGTGTATCGATCTTCATCTTGATGGTATGCTCCACCAAGGACGTGCGGCCCGTCGTACTTTCAAATTTTGGCAGCTCCCGTTCCAGAAATTCATTCAATGTCTTCTTTTGGTTGTCCTCAAGATCACGCATCGCAGCCTCTTCCACTTCGCTTTGTCCATCTGATGAATTCGGGGAGTCGATGACGTGTGAAACCATTTGGCATCGGTCTGGGACGCCATCCCTGTCAGAGTCTATTGTTATTATGTTCAAGCGGCTTATTATGTCTATCCCCAATATTATGTGTGGTCCCAAACCCGGAAGGTGAACGACTTTCAGTTCGTGGTTGGCACCTCTTATTACGGACGGCAGGGAGAAGCATCGATTTAACGTTGTCTCAGAATTGTTGGCCATGGCAACTCTGACCTCTTTATATTCGGGGTTCACATATCGTTCAATAAAATCAGAGACTTCATCACCTATCAGATTTATCATAGAGCCAGTGTCGACTAACGCCTTAAAACTTCTCCCAAACATCATGACATTGATATAGGGCCTAGGATCGTTCGTTACCCCCCCCCGGTTCAACATTCTTCATAGTCCCTAACTGGAAGTTGGAGGTCGTCGCACTTGGTCGGGGTTCGGACTCCGGTGACCTCCTTGGCCCATCGTCCGCCTCTCGTTTCCCGAACTCTTACAGTCACAAGACGTTGTTCTCGCTCCTAGCTTCTTGCAGTTGAAACACCGTATAACTTTTGGTTCTTTGCAGAAAGCGAAGATGTGGCCTGTCTTTTCGCAGTTCCAGCATGTCCTTGAATCAGCCGGTCGCCTCTCATCCTCGCGGTACCTTCGATTCTGATGTCCCCTTTCAGCCATGGTCTTTGCCGGATATCGGTCCTTACTCATAGGTTCAAATCTAACTTGGTTGCTGTTCTTGGATTCAACTGTTGCTGTGTGATGCGAGAATTTCGGCGCCAACCTACTTCGTCCATGGTAGGCGGTTTCGGGTACCAATGCCTGGGCTGGGTTCGGCGGGGGTGTATATTCAGTTCGCACTCGCAAGCAGGTCTCATAATCTTCAGCGACTTTGATCAGACTTGGCAAGTTCACAAAGTCTCGCCTACGAACATATGTTTTATAGCTCGGGTGCATGTTTCTATAAATTCGGTCTAACTTTTCGTGTTGCGAATATCCTCCTCTTCTTCGAATCAAGGTCGAGATGGCTACAACGTAGGGTTTGAACAACTCTCCTTCTCCTTGTGTTCTCTTCCTAATTTCGTCATCTAAGTGAAGTAGATAGCCGGGAGGTAAGTACTGAATTTGAAAATCCCTGACAAAGTCCATGAAGTCACCCCAAAATTCTCGATTATTCCTATACCATAGGATCGCACTGTCTTTCAATAGCTCGGGCAACGCCTTCAACATCAACTCAGGGGTCACACCATACGATTCCATCAATTCATTCAAGCGCTCTAAGAAGGAGATGGCATCCGATTCTTTCCTTCCATCGAATCTCAAGTTCCATTTCCTTACGGTATTACAAAGGGAGGCAGTGTTCGACGGTCTTGGTGAATCTACGTCACCTGCCACCATTGGCTCTTCGCGTCCACTCGTGTGGTTAAAGCCAAAATCTAATTGCTCTGCCAAACCACCTTCATCATTTGATTGAGTGCGTGTGAAGACTGGGGCATAAGACTTCATCCTTATCGGAGTAAGCATCGAGGTTCGCCTCTCGGGAACCCCCACAATCGATCGAGCTGTCTGGTGTGTAGTTGACAAGGTCGCTTGGCGTGGCTTTGAAGCTTGTGTCATCAGCCGTCTGACCTCGTTAAAATCGGCATCAGGTGGAAGACCTAGAAGTTCTCGGATGCTCACGGCTTCTAGCTCTAAGGATGCACCCGCTGGTGCTTCTTGAGATGCGTGGTGGAACTCATCATCCTCTTCAATCGCCTCCTTTCCAGCCCGTTGTCGTAACCGTCGAACAAGTTCTGCTCTAAGCTGATTAGCGTTTCCTTCTGGTACAGTTCCCAGCTTGCCTAGCTCGTCTTCAAGCTGCGATCTTGATAACTTGTAGACCCAGCTGACCCTTACTTCTGTATCCGTGGGTGGTCGTTGAGCTGTTCCAGCTGCCGTAGAGCTAGTAGTCGTAGTAGTGGATGTCCGTAGGTCCGCTCCTCCAGACGAGGTCGTGACCGTAGCGATAGGTTGTTGCTCGCCTCCTTGTGACGAAGCGCTTCCGTTCTCACCTTCTTCCATTATATTCAATGCCAGGAGAATCTTGAATGGTCTAAGGAATCTCTCTACGTGATAGAACATCGTTGTTCCTCAAATAAATCGTCTAAAATCCAAATTTCTACTTTTCTTTCAACAATTTCCAAATTTTCGTCAATAACTACTTATTCAGTAGTCCCTGTTCGGGCGCCATAAATATGTGAGGGAATTTCCGTGTGTGTGTGTCGTTTTCGTTATCTTATCGCCAAAGATAGTTCAGCAGTGCTGGGTTTAAATTTCCAGGGGTCGATGTGAATCAACAAAATATTGTTGATGTGAAA